GGAACACAGTCCAACCTACATTTTCAAAAATGTTGAATCTTCTTTTTAAAAATTAATAGTTTTGTAGTGTTTTAGATTGTTTTAATATATTAATATTAAAAATCATTTTTAAAAAATAAAAAATATTATTTTAATATATTTTAAAATAAAAAATAATTACAACCTCCAGTAACCCGAGAACATGTAAGAAATCGAACTAGTATTGAATTCTTTAGTAATTGAGATTCCAGCACTAGAGGTAACAAAGCATAGCCTGCCGATTATCATCTTGGGCGCCACTCTTACGCATTGTCAACCAATAGAAGGCCTAAAGCTTAATATCATCCCTACTTTCAGGTTTAATAATATAGAATTTTGTCAGTTTTGTAAATAGAGCAATTTAATCCATAATGATTAATTTATTAGGACTTCTACTTTTAAGAGTATAAATATTCATCGTAAAAATAAAATATTCGAACTTAATAATATTATTATTATTCAATTTATTTAGCTTGTAAAAGGAATTCTTGTATTTTTTTCTTTAATAAATTAAATTAACTTATAAAATATTAACTGAATTCGTGATATCTTTATTATATTTTTTATTCATAAATTGATATTTGTTAGGTAAGAGTTATTATTTCAATAATACTAGTATCTTGGAACATGTTTTTACTGTGTCACTCTCCTATTAAACATGTTTTGGCTTTTTAAAATTTGTTATCGATCTTGTCTTGGGTTGTGTGATCACGAAGTTTGTATCACAATCAACCTAATTTGACTTATTAAATAAGTAATTCATGTCATGTATTCTAGTAAGTTTAATAAAATTATTTTTTAATTAATTCATAAAACAAAGATTGATGCTTAAAATCTCAAGCTCCAACCATATATCAAGATGTTTATTTAAAATTATGATAACCTCATAAAAAATAAATCAAAAGAAATTATGAAGACCAATTTAAATCAACTAAATATTAAAAAGAAAAATTAAAAAGAAAAAAATTAAAAAATTTAATAAAAACTCAATGTTAAAGAAAAAACTTATTAAAAAAATAAAGACCCATGCCTTTAAAAAGAGTCATGACGAATGAACCTTCCACCTTAGCCGCGTGCTACTTTTTCTTTCTCGTAATTAAATGACTCTCCTTCCTCTACTTATTTTCTTAAGAGGTGGCATTTCCTATAGTGGTGGTAAGTGACTTGTCATCGCTTGAGTCTCCTTTCCAAAACCCATCAATCATTGTAGTGTTAGAAAATCATGACAAGAAAATCACTAAAAAAATCAAAAAGAACTTAGGTATCCTTTTTTGGCATCTTTATAGATAAAAAAAACATTATCATCAAACTTCTCTTGTCAAATAAAACCCATTACCACCAAAACCAGTTTTTTTTCACAATAATATGAACAAATTGATAAAATTCTCTCTTTTTACTATTTTCAAGCAACTTTTCTCTCCTCTTTCAAATTAAAGAATTGGAATGTTAAGAAAAAAAATTTCAAACCAAGATTAAAATTCCAACAATTATGTGGGCTATAAAGGACTAAACTAAACTTTTTTTCTAAATATGGTATTAGTCATAGAATTTCTCCTTATTTTATACTTTGGTAATCTTTTGTTATTTTTTTATTTTTTATTTTGGTCCTAGAAACTTTTTTAGGGTTATTTCATCCTTTTGTTGTCAAATTAAAGGACAATTGCTTCAAATCGTTGAGGAATGGCAAGATTGAAAGAATGAGACCAAAGTGAAAAAGTCTCAGAAAATAGGTGGTAATTTTAAAATTTGGTTAAGAAGTTTAGTTTGGTCCTCATACTTTTATAATTATAAATTTTTTATCCCAAAATATTTCTAAAATTCAAATTTAGTTCCAAAAATAATTTTCAATATTTTTCAATTTCTAGTTAAAGAGACAAAAGAGAAAGCGATCAAATTCTGGTAGTAAAGAGAAGCTCTCGGTTGACACTGATTTCAACTATAAAAAATATTTATTTTGGTATCAATGAGTTCATTTCGATGAAGGGGGTCGATCTTATATATTCTTTGACCTTCTCCTTGCCTAAAAATGGTATATCTAAACTTGGAATGTTTTTGGATTTCGAGTTGATTTTAGGTTTTTTAGGTCATAAATAGGTTTATTGATACATTCATGTTATTCTATATTTTTTGTACTTTATTCTTAGTTTTTTATAGATATTTCATATTTTATAGCAGCTTCTTTAACTAGTTTTATGCTTAATAATGCTATGGAGATAAAGTGTAAAGATGAGCTAAATAAAATATTTCTAACAGAATTTCAAGTAAAGGCTAAAAAGAGTATATTAGAACAAGTCATTAGAGCTAAAAAAATCAAATTCTAATTGCATTATAAATCCAACTTTAACAAGAAATCCTAGTGGGATTAGGATTGATCGAACCTAACCTAACAAATTGGAGCTCTATATTTTTTAGACCATATTTGAAGTTATAAATGGAATTTTCTTTCAATTCTAATTGGACAAAAATATACACATCTCAAACTTTTTATGTGTATATGATAGACTTAGTAACTCATCTAAATAAGAAAGAAGCATTTTTCAAAAGATGGGCAAAACTTTAAAGTAATATAATTAGAAATTAGTTATTAATGATAAAACTGCATCACCTCCTCATTTTCATATAATCGATCATAATCTCTAAAGAATAAGGAGAATCACATTTAGAAATAGAAGAATACAATGAGGGATTCTATTATTTTTAAAATTATTTTTTTTTATCTTTTCTGAATTTGTAACAATCTTAGTTTTTATTTTATTTTAAGAGGTTCGTACTATTGGATCTTAAATAATCATAAGAATTTGTGCTTAAAAATATTCTATATATGATTATGATACATTAATATTTTATGTTTTCTCTAAAATTGAACTTAATTATTGATGACTTGAATTTTATAAAATGTGCAATATATATATTTTTTTTTAAGCTCATTGCTAGTTAATTAGTTTATATTGGATGTTTGACTAATTAACTTAAGTAGTAGAAGTATATAATTTTGAAAACTATTTTTGATTAAATGTTACTTGAAAAACATAAGCTTAATTAAATTAACTCTCCATGTGTTTTAATTATCATTAATCAATTACACTTATCTTGATTTTATTATTATTATATAATTAAATCTTACTGTTTTTTATAGTTAATGAAAAAAAAAGAGCATGGTTTACATGCAAGCCATGTTTTTTTTATAGGCCAGACAGGTGAGCAAGACTACATTCCTAGCCTTTTTTTAATTAATGTGTTCTCAACCTCTTAAACTAAAACAAAAAAAAAAAATCATTTCATCATTTGGTTGTTTTTAAATATTTTTTATTTGACCTGAAAAAAAAAAGCCTCTTTTTGTTATCAAATTTTATAAAACTTAGAGTTTTTTTATTATTATTTTAGTCTCATGTTCCACCTCTATTTTTTCTTATAAAAAAATCATTTTTAGTTTGATGTTAAAAAAAGTTCAATATGCCATGATATTTAATAAAATGAAAAATAATATTGAAAATAAAAGGATGTTAAATCCAATAGGGTGCATAAACCAGGTTAACTTAAGTTTTATTTTCTTTTCTTTTTTAAATTGTATATTTTTATTTTTATCTATCAAAATTGAGTTGATTGGACATTGTAATTTATTCATGTTTTTTTTTATATGGTTATTTTTTCTCATAACCCAGGTCACTTATTTAACTGATTAATTCGGATTTACCCGCATCGATATAATATTTTGTTATGTCAATACTTTTATATAAGAAAAAATATCATCCAATATATGTAAGATTTTGAATTCATGATTATTTCTTTTCTCTTAGAAAACACATTTATGATGCTTGGATATTCTTTTTTGGAGTTTGAAAAAAAGATCAATCTTACTCTTTTTTTGTGTTTTTTTTTTATTATTATTATGCAATTCAATAAAAAAAAATTGATTCTAACAAATAAGGATATTGATTAGTACTTAAAAGTACATTGTTATCAAGGTTTTATATTATTATTTTGCACTTGAAGTATCAATAACTCCTCAACCAAAACATATTTTATAATAACATATTTAATAATATAAGATACCTTTAATTTATGGTAAATATTCATTTTAAATGCAGGCCTATCACATAAGTGAAAGGATTGATTGATGAGTTTAAGAACTGAAATTGAAAGGACAAAGAGATGGACAAACTTAGAAAAGAGATGCTGGTGCAGTTCAAACCGGAATACTATTCTGTAATTGGGTCATATCTGGAGCTGTAGATCTCAAATTTAAGTTTATTTTATAGGATGGAAAGGTAAGACATATGCTTACAACTTTCATGTGGAGGTCTGGTTTTAAAAATGGAATTTTTAAGTCCAAATTGCAGTAACAACGAAGAAGTCCAAATATGTCATGCAGCCTGAATATTGTTTAGTGTTTGGCCCATATCTAGAGTTCTAGAAGTCCAAATGACCTCCATTTATTTTTCCTGAAAAGTTGAGACAATTTCTCATGACTTTCATGTTCAAGTGGTTCCAATTCTAACGTTATCAATGACGTTTTGGGCAAATAAAAAAAGATAAAGATTGTCACCAAGTTAAGAGTTGACCACCACTCATCAATTTGTCATCAAATTAATAGTTCCTAATTTTAGCCTATAAAAGGAGGCATTTTTCATGCATTTAGCTATCTTGGTCTCTAGATCAAGATCATGCTTTTGCTTTCTCTCTTTGTATTGCT